TAAGAAAATGGCCATTATAGATTTTTGTATGGTGCAGTGGTATTTATAAGTAAATTCCAAAATCACGGCTTAGCATTTAAAAAGATTTTTCAGTTAAAAAAATTGCTTTTACTATTCAGTTATATACCTTATTCGTCTTTTATTTAAACTTATGAAACAGAGATTTCTTTTTTTATTCAATTCATATAGTTTTTTTTCCGTGTATCCGCTAATAGACTTCGGAAAAACTACTCAGAGTTATAAAGAAAATACCTTAGAAAGTATAAAATAATGAAATGAAATCTACAAGAAATATGTTCAGTTGTAATTTATTTTATTAATTTAGTTTTTCAAAATAAATGTTTTTTCTTGTATAAAATTGTTTAGATCGTTTATACTTTATACTACTGAATAAAAATGTACTTATTTACGAATTATTAAATCCTTTTTAGAAAATTAGTTTATTCGAGTAACATTGTCCTTCCTTCAGCATTTGCATTTTTAATTATTTTATTTTATTAAGTAAACTTTTGTAAAGTTAATGCCTTTTGAAAAAAAAATTTTTTTTTCGTCAATGCAAAGATTTTAATCTTTTAAATAATTGCGAGCATTAATTCTATTCATACTCAATAAATTCATTTTAAATCATCTGTACCATTGATTCATAGAGATTAATAAAACTTAAAAAGCGATATGTAGTCACTTCCAATTTTATGGTAATATTTCATTTTAAAATAGTTACGAAAATGTCACCTGAAAAAGGATGAAAAATAACTCAAACAGTGAAGATAATATTAACTAAAATATTAAACTGCCATTAAGAAACATTCTAATTAACATACCTATTCAGCTCCTCAACTCCATCACCCTCATCATCATTAAACTCATCCTTAACCTCATTCACAACTTCAACCCCCTCATCATCATCATCCCCTACCTCATCATCATTCTCAACTCCATCATCATCAGATGATGGCACCTCAGCTCTTAACTCCATCATATATTCCTCATCACTGAAATTATAAAAGGAATATATTTTTTCAAATCTGTCTAAGGGTTGTAGATTTTTACTAAAAAAATGCGTGATTTCTAATGGTTTGTTTGATCTGCGAAGGCGACTTCCAGAGTTTCTTTAGGTTTAGAGTGTGGAAAATAAAACAGTGTATCTTAAGAAATTGTGATTTTAATAGGTTTTTGATTGCTTTTTTTTATTATTGAGTGAGCATTATCGAAATAGACTGTTCATTATTTTATGTTTATATCATATCTTAGTCGATTTTTACCAGCAGTAGTACTTTTTGACCAAAATAGGTAAACAGTAAGACCGCTGTTTTAACCCTTTGTGGTCGTGTGTCTTATTTCAGCCACCAACGTTTTTTAACCGTTCAAGTCGTGTGTCTGCTCTCAGCCACCACAGCAAAGATGTTAGCCGCAGCGTGATGCAAACTACATATATTGCGGCACTGTGAAGATGTAAAGAGTAAGGATTGTTCTGTATGTTCAAACAGAAAAATTAAAGCCGGGAAGACGCCTAACTAATCATTTTTGCGACGCATGTCCTCGAAAACATGTGCGTCATATTGGAGACTGCTTTGAAAGATACCACGCGAAACCTATAAAATATAGTTTTTACATACAATTGAAACATATTATTGTGTTACATATATCTAAAGTATAAAAAAGAATTAATAAATTATATTTTCTTTCATAATTTTGCATATTATGTATTACTGTTAGTTACGTATTATTGTACTGAAAATTAATTCCCAACCAGTATGACACCCATGTATGAATTTAATACGACCACAAAGGGTTAAATGTTTCGTTGTTTTCAATTACGTTCTTGCTTTCTGTGTGAATTTTCCAAATATTCAAAAGGGTACCTTTTTATTGAAAAAAAAAAGAAAGAAAATGACGATAAAAGGCATGAAACTTTAGGGATATAACTAAACTTACAAATCAATTTCATCCAATTCAATATCATCCAAATCGAATTCATCTTCGAATTCGCTACCATCCTCATATGCTGAAATATTAATTAAAATTAAATTTAATAATTTGAATAAAAACTAGTTTTAAAATAATTTCTTAAGTGTTTATTCTGTTCAATAATAAAATAAATTCATAAAAAAGGTAGAAAAACTTCTTTGAAAAAGGTATATTTTTGGAAACCGCATAAAGGTATATTTTTTAAAAAAATTTTTAAAAAAAATAGCGGTGTGGTTGTTCCTCGTATGCTGTAAAAATATAAATAATCAATAAACGGTATTAATCAACACTGCTTAATCAAGCGCAAAACTGAAAACCATATACCGACATATTTATTGAAGCTTAAATAATTTCCTTTTTTCTTTAATTTTATTTTATTAATTTTAACATCACTAACAACATATTAATTTTATTAATTTTAACTGTTGGAGCTTCCCGGTGACTTAACGTTATTATATCAAGCAAAACCCGCTTTTTAAAATTCAATATTAATATTAACTATATTCAAAAAACATCTCAGCTTGGTGTAAGCTTAATTATTGATTGTGGTTTTCATTTAACTACTTGTACTAAGGTGTGTGCAAATACTCCATTCGGCTTTAACTTGAAATAACAGACAATATTTCATAGTTTTTGAACATATTTGGATAGGTATTTACGCCAGTTTTTATTCATTGTGAATTAATAACGCTCAAATGTGGGTAAATAACATTCTGGCGCAATATTTTATTTGACTTTTTTAAATGTTTGAATCAGGTATAGAAGAGCATAAAATCTATATCATATTTATATTTCTCGATAAAAATGTACAATTAGGTGACACTTTTCATGTCTTTGTTTTGAAGTTGGTTTTTCTTTTCTTCTGTTCGTATACAGAAAACAGAGAAAACTGTTTCAAATTGAGATTATTTTTTTGTTTCGAGAAATTTAGCAAAATAGGAAATCTGGATAGAAATAACTGGAAAATGGCAGATTTAACATTCAGTATAAGTTTCAGATTGGAGTGCCCAATCCACAAGCGGTACCCAATTCTACACTCTATAACCTATTTTCCCTCCAAAATTCTATTTGAACATTTCTTTACTTGTTATTTAATACTGTAGTGCGATAAAAGCTAAATTGGATTGCCTATTTTAAAAAGATAAGTTTTATTTAATTATCCATCAAGTAGTTTTTTCAATTTAAGACAAAAATATCATTTACAAAATATGTACAATTATTTTTTGTTAATTTTTTTTTTTAATTCACGAAATTCATCAATATTCAATAAATTTAGGTTTCTGGGAAAAATTTTGATCACTGTAAGGAAGCTTCATATCTTTTTAACAATATTGTAGGTCCATATCAATAAATAATAAAAATTTAATAAAAATATTAAGAAGTATGTTTTTATACTCACGATTAGGTCGGGGATACTTTTCCCTTTCCTTTCTCCAATGATTCAAAAGAGCAAAACGATATAAATCGCTTTTATCCATAATTCTCACTTTTTAATCTCACAAAAAGACAACCAGCATTTGAGAAATCTCAAACAAGAATGAGTTAAAAAAATCTTTTTTAATGGAACTAACAGATGCATCTTTTGCAACAATGTGAACAATTGTTTAAATAATATTTTGCATAAAATTTTTATATAACTCCCCATTAGTTTATTGTTGTCAAAGTTTCATTGTTAAGTATTGTTGAAAATGTTTTTAAAAGTTGGTTACTCCAAATCCAAGAAAAAATAATATGGATGATCGATTTCAGAATTAAATAATGATTTCTTTCATACATTTTTATTTATTCAAAGGATACAATTGACATAGAAGAAATTATTTTAACTTTACTTTAAGTAAAACGTATAAAAAATCAGTGAGGATATCATTATTTTCTTAATAAAAAATTCATTTTTTGGGAAATTGACTCTTTAAATTTAAACCTTCTCAAGGAGTTTATATATACTTAAGACATATATGGGTTCCACTTCTCCACTACACTACACTGATCTTAAATAATTTTATAGATAAATTTATTTTCGCAATTTTATTCATTAATTTATTATATTTATTAGTTTATTTTATCAATCATTATTTTTATTCAGTACTGCGAAATGAACTAACTCACTTATTCATTTACTTATTTAGTGGTTTTGAGAAAAAAATTTAAATATCAACTGTAGTAAAAGTTTCGAAAATCGATAGTAGAGCGGTTAAAGCATTAAGCTGTCATGATGAAAGTCTGGGTTCGATCTCCGGCAGCATTTTGAAATCCATCTAGACTCAAAACGATGGGTACATGTTTGGCTGTGAAGTATAGGCGGTCGATGCGCAGTGCTGGACGCATTGCCACCATTTCGGTGTTTGTCTCAAAATAGTGAAGCTTCAACATTTTTGACATTCTATAACCCACAACGGGATGTTGTTGGAACGTTTAATTTGTTTGGTAGAAATTTAAAACCAATGATCTCTATAGCAACGAAAAACATTAAATGAAAACTAGTTAAAGTAGTACACCAAATATTTTTTAAATTACATAAACTTCAATTACATATTTTATTTTGCACTTAATTAAGATAAAAGCTAAATAATACAAATATTCTGTCATTGCATGCGTTGAATGTTTTTACTTTATGCAAATCAAACGGCTGCCATATTATTTATAGATATCAAACATCGGTAACAATATAGCTGAATTTGAGCATAGAAAATATCATTAATGTTTAAACGTAAGGGCAAAACCAAATACGAAAAGGAGAAAGAAACCACTTGAAAAAATATTAATTGAATTTAATATTAGTTCTTAATTCATTATATCATTAAAAAATGCATTACTTTGCATAGTAATGTAGTTTTTAGTACAAAAATTTTTTTTATGCAATTAACTGTTCCCTAATGCATGATGAAATTTAAATTCAGTTTGTTAATTAAAGCAAACTTCAAAATAAATTGAAATCTAAAAATTATAAGAAATCATAAAGAAAAAAAACAAAATCCTAAGGTTGGAAAATGATAGAGTCAAGGCAGATTTAACCCAAGATAACTAAACATTCGTCTAACAGAATACCGACTGAGACGGGCTCAGACTCGTTTACTGAATAGGTTTCGACCTTGGCTTGACTCTGACTCCAGACAAAATGTTCATCAACATTTTTACTACTTTTAAGCAAACGTTGTGTTCAGTTATTAAGTGTAAAAATTTAATTACGATAAAAGGTTTTAAATTAATAATTTCCTTGTTTAGACAAAAGCCTTTATCCGACGTATATCTCAGGCCCTAATGGACTCTGGTTCGATCCTGTGTATCTCGCTCGGGTAAAAATTCATTGGACTCTGACCTATAAGAGCGAGCCCCGTCTACTGACTCCTGCCAGTTTCGTGAATTACAGAAATTCTCGCTAATTCAGAAGAAAAAGGAACTCTTGGATCAAGTATTAGGAGAAATTTGCCTTCGTGGAGGACTTTTTGAGGGAACTAACCCGCATTTGGGTTACATAGAGAGGGAAACCACGAAAGCCTCCCATGGTTAGACTGACGGCAAGGGGACTAACCCATGATCCGTCTACCACTGAGGATATTTTACGTCAGCACTCTGGTCGGTGCGAGCCGGGTGAGGATTTCGTATCGACAAACCATCGCTGGGATTCGAACCCGGTTCACCTCACTAGAAGGCGAACGCTTTATCCCCTGAGCCATCACGGCTCACTTGTAGAAATTGGAGTCTATGCAATAATCTGTGTATTTTTCTGCATTTCATTATTATTCTGTTCGTGATAGAAACGCAGAGTGTTAAACACAACAAGGTTGTTAGTAGAGAGCACACAACTTTTACCATATTTTTATTTATTAAAATGTTCTACTTTAAGCTTTGATAACTTCTTTGAAATAACGTAAATATAAAAATATTTTTAAATTCGTACTAATCGAATAATAGATTAACACTGGTTTAAGTACCCTGCAATTGCTTATTTCTAAGAATTTTAGATACATTGGTATGCAAGAACTTCTCAGCGGACTCCGAAGTATCCTGTTCGGATTTGCTTTTGACATTATAAACTTCAGTAATGAGGATGAGGGGAAAAAAATCAGAGTTAAGTTTAAAAACTTTTGTTGAAAATTCAGGATTAAGGACATGTGATGATCACACATTAAGAATAGATAATTTTGTGAACATCCTAACTAAATCTTATTTCAAATCCGAAAGCTTAACTTGTTCACTAAGATGGACAGGGTGTATAGTCTACAAAGCCAAGATATGGCTTTTGCTGCGCCATATTAAGATTTTACAATGATATTTACTCAAGGTAAAACCAAAAGAAGTTATAAATTTAAATTAAAGGGGTCACGAGGTCCTCTAAGGTTCTGGAATCCCCAGTATCTAAAAGTTAGTTCGTAATAATTATATATTTCATTAACTTAATATCTGTATAGCTTCAATACAGAAATTAAGTTAATAAAATACGCAATATTTAACACAAGTTTTAAAAGTATATTTAAAAGCACGAATGTCTTACAAGTTTTATATCTAAGTGTCATGTAAAGAAAGTTGGTCCTTTTCGAATACCCAAAAAGGAAAAAAAAATTTACGCTTTTTTATACCAATGCAAACACGATTTAAAATTACATTCACATGATTTGTTGTTGTTGTTGTAGTTCATTTACGTCGCACTAGAGCTGCACAATGGGCTATTGGCGACGGTCTGGGAAACATCCCTGACGATGATCCGAAGACATGCCATCACAATTTTGATGCTCTGCAGAGGGGATGGCACCCCCGCTTCTNTCTTGTTTAGACAAAAGCCTTTATCCGACGTATATCTCAGGCCCTAATGGATAAAGGCGATCCTGTGTATCTCGCTCGGGTAAAATTTCATCGGGCTCTGACCTATAAGAGCGAGCTCCGACTACTGACTCCTGCCAGTTTCGTGAATTACAGAAATTCTCGCTAATTCAGAAGATAAAGGAACTCCTGGATCAAGTATTGGGAGCAATTTGCCTTCGTGGAGGACTTTTTGAGGGAACTAACCAGCATTTGGGTTACATAGTGAGGAAAACCACGAAGACCTCCCATGGTTAGACAGACAGCAAGGGGACTAACCCATGATCCGTCTACCACTAAGGATATTTTACGTCAGCACTCTGGTCGGTGCGAGTTGGTGCGGATTTCGTATCGACAAACCATCGCTGGGATTCGAACCCGGTTTACTTCACTAGAAGGAGAAAGCTTTATCCCCTGAGCCACCACGGCTCACTTGTAGAAATTGGAGTCCATGGCATATTCTGTTCATGATAGAAACGCAGAGTGTCAAACACAACAAGGCTGTTTGTAGAGAGCACACAACTTTTACCATATTTTTATTTATTAAAATGTTCTACTTTAAGCTTTGATAACTTCTTTGAAATAACGTAAATATAAAATATTTTTGAATTCTTATTAATCGATTAACACTGGTTTAAGTACAGTTATCAAGGGTCAAGGTCCCTGCAACTGCTCATTTCTAAGAATTTTAGATACATTGGTATGCAAGAACTTCTCAGCAGACTCCGAAGTTTCCTGTTCAGCTATGCTATTGACGTTACTAACTTCAGTAATGAGGATGAGGAAGAAAAAAATCAGATGTTGAAAATTCAGGATTAAGAACATGTTATGATCACAGATTAAGAATAGATAATTTTGTGAACATCCCAACTAAATCTTACTTCAAATCTGAAAAGGTAAGTTTCTTGCATGTCCTCAGCTTAAACTTGTTCACTAAGATGGACAGGATGTATAGTCCACAAAGCCAAGATATGGCTTTTGCTGCGCCATATTAAGATTTTACAATGATATTTACTCAAGGTAAAACCAAAAGAAGTTAGAAATTTAAATTAAAGGGGTCACGAAGTCCTCTAAGGTTCTGGAATCCCCATTATCTAAAAGTTAGTTCGTAATAATTATATATTTCATTAACTGTTATAATTATATAATAATTAATAATTATATATTTCATTAACACTAATATCTGTATAACTTCAATACAGAAATTAAGTTAATAAAATACGCAATATTTAACACAAGTTTTAAAAGTATATTTAAAAGCACGAATGTCTTACAAGTTTTATATCTAAGTGTCATGTAAAGAAAGTTGGTCCTTTTCGAATACCCAAAAAGGAAAAAAAAATTTACGCTTTTTTATACCAATGCAAACACGATTTAAAATTACATTCACATGATTTGTTGTTGTTGTTGTAGTTCATTTACGTCGCACTAGAGCTGCACAATGGTCTATTGGCGACTGTCTGGGAAACATCCCTGACGATGATCCGAAGATCCCTGACGAAATCCTTACCGCAAACCCTCGGTCCCTACGCAGACTGATCCAAGTGATCACCCACCCGCACACTGACCGTAGCCAGTGATGCTTGACTTCGGCGATCTGCTGGGAACCGCGTCTTAACGATCAGTCCACTGCGGGACTCACATGATTTGAAATCACACATTGCGATTACTATTTACGCGA